GCTGGGGCCGGGCCGGGCCAGGGGCTGTTGGTTTGGCCCCAAGGTCCGTGACGCCAGGACGCCCTGGCACCTTCTGCTCCCGGGAGCCGAGGAGAGGCTGCCACTCTCAGTGCGGAGCGGGGGAGGGAGAAGGACGCCGCTCTTCCGTGAGAGCAGAGCATGTTACAAGAAATAAAAGGAAAAACTGTAGCCCTGCCCCCTCCGACCACGTGGCCCGAGAAAGAGGGGCTGGAGGCCGGAGGCACACAGTTCCCATCTGCTCTCCTGGACCGTGAGCACCGTGGCCTGTTTGGTTTCCACCTCCCGGGACCCGTGGTCACCACTTGGAGAGCGCGGAGCACATGCTGTTCCCAAGGCTGCAGTCCCAGCCGGAGGGAGCAGCTCTGTGGGGGGAGCAGCTCTGTGGGGGGAGCAGCTCTGTGGGGGGAGCAGCTCTGTGGGGGGAGCAGCTCTGTGGGAGGAGCAGCTCTGTGGGAAGAGCAGCTCTGTGGAGGGAGCAGCTCTGCAGAGGAGCGGCTCTATCTCGCCTGTCGCGCCCGCTTCAGCAAGGCCGCCGTTTTCCACGCAGAGACGCAGTGGCAGAGCAGTATCTCCTCCGGGAACTGACCCTCCATCTCGGGGGGAATGTCAACTTCTTTCGTCTCCATGTAACTCACTAGAGTGTCTCTCAGGCTGAAAGACCAAGGGACAGGGCAGCATTTAGGACAGATTCCACACAACCTCGGACCCCCTCCCGGCCGGCCGCGGTCCCCTCCCTCTAAAGTCCCTTCCCGGCCAGCCGTGGTCCCTGCCCTCCACGGTCCCCTCCCTGCCGTCCACGGTCCCCCTCCAGCTGCGGTCTCCCTCCATCCATGGTCCCCCTCTTGGCCATCGGCAGAACCAGTGCTCCTGAAACCAGGAACGCGGGGTCAGCCATAGGCCACCCTCGGCGAGTGGGTCCGTGGGGACCAGGAGCCCGGCCCGAGGTTCTGGTGCGCCCACCTCCCACGTGCGTGACGTGACGTGCACAAGCACCGTGGGGCCCCCAGGAACGGGCTCCTGTCCCCACAGAGTCCAGGGGAGCAAGGATGTGTTAAGAAACTCGACATGGCCCTGGCCGTGTGGCTCAGTGGATCGGAGCGTCGTCCCAGGCACCAGAAGGTCTTGGGTTCGATCCCTGGTCATGGTGTATACCCAGGCTGTGGGCTTGATCCCCAATTGGGGTGTGCAGAGGCAATCGATGGATGTTTCTCTCTCATCTCCTCTCCCCCCCTAAAAAAAAAAAAAAAAAAAAAAAAAAATCAATAAATATCCTCAGGTGAGAATTTTTTAAAAATCCGAAGATACAGATGTATACAGGTGTATGCCACACCCGTAACGGGAAAATAGCGACCGTGCCGTGGGCAGCGAGGGAACGGGCTGTGACTTCTGTTTAGAAAACCAGTGAAGCTAAATCCCTGCCTCACACCACACACGGCAGTAAACCGGCTGCGACAGAACGGACAAGCAGAGCCCAGAAGCACCAGCAAAAACGCTGAGGACTGTCCTGCAGCCTCGGGAGAGGGCGGCCCTGACCGCTCTGTGTGCCCACAGTGGCTCCAAGGAAAACCGTCAGCTTCCCCACAAATTAAACACCAAGAGATGGGCCTTTGGGACCTGAGGGGTGAAAGGCTCATCCTAATGGTTCACGATTAAGAAGATAAACAGCCCCCGCCCCCACCCCCACCCCCAAGTAATCAAAGGGTATCAGAGGCGACTCAGAGGGAGGCCACAGACCGATAAACAGAGAAGCCCCTCAGCCTCGCGGACAGGACAGGAGTGGGCGTGGCCCCGGGCAGCGAGATATGAGAGGTGGGGGCTGTGAATGTGTAAGTGCGTGAGTGTGTGTGTGTGTGTGTGAGTGTGTGTGTGAGTGTGTGTGTGTGAGTGTGTGTGAGTGTGT